TTCGTGTGGTTTGAGCGCCATTCACCTAATAATGTACGCTCAGACCTGAGCTATCTGTTATGTCTGTAATTATTGTGACATTTGTATATTTTAACAGTAATTTCTATTCTGGTGTCCCCACTTGCATAATGGCGATTTGCCTTTGTCCTGGGAGATAATTGAATCACTTCTCAATTATCTCCAGGGCAGAGAGGAGGAAGCCAGGGTGCATTGTGGGTATGTATTGTGCCTGTGTGTCCTGATTTGATACCTGTCTGATACCTGTCTGTCCATTTGGTCCCCTAGGGGAGTGTCCACCAAGTGGGAGACCTGCATAAATACGGGCAGGTAGCCCTCATTAAAGCCAGATCTTGTTTTACCCTCAATACGGAGCTTGGTCTCCTACTATACACTGATAGAGACTGACTACTGGGAATGTAAGCCGCTTGGATGCTGTGTCTGTTCAATATGTGGAATTACCGTTCGGGAGTTTGAAGTATTACTGGTACGCTGTTTGGGAGTTAGGAGCATTCCCCTGGTTCCAGTTCGGGAGTTTGGGGTTCTAAAGTAGTCGTGCCTGTATCCCTGAAAGGGGAAGCTCTACTAAGCGGCGGTTTCACTCCTTTATGCCAGGAGTGTCTTAACAGAACACATTGAATAATAATTGGAGAATAATGTGAATGGACAACAACTCAAATAGCTTGGATCCCTTCTCAGTCCTCAAACTGGTTTTAGCTCCAAAAGAGTGGTGGCCTCTGCACTAGAGATACATCAATTTCCCGTGATTGTTTCATGCATTGTAAGTGAGGTATAGCAAATAATTCAATAGGCACAGTAAGCAAGAGGTTCACTTATGGATAATCCATTTATATTAGGGAAAGCAAACAAATTAAAACAGGGTGCAAGAGAATATTGATAATGGACAAGAACTGAAATAAACTGCCTTTCAGTGGTACCTGCTCAGTTCTCAAGCTGGTTTTAGCTTATCTTTTGCCATTAAAGAGAGAACTTAAGCAATTTGCATATCAGACTAAAAGAGTGAATCTAGATCCAAAATGCAGGCTGTCTCTCTCTGCACGAAAGATACAGCAATAAAAACTATATAATCTACTGCAGCGGTTTCCAAACAGGGGTGCCGTGGAATGTTTCCCTGGTGCTCTAAGACCGCCACCAGGCCCCTGTAACATAGGCTGGGAGGAAGTGACAGCCTGTGTGTATATGAGTGTGTGTATCTGTGTGTGTGTGTGTCAGTTTATGCATCTCTGTGTGTGTGTGTCTGTGCGCACATATCTGTGTGTCAGGATATGCACCTGTGTATGTGCATCTGTATCATGGTTTGTACATGTATCAATGTTTGTGTGTGTCAGGGTGCATGAGTGTGTATAGGTTAGTGTTTGCATCTGTCGGTGTCTATATCAATTTGTGTGTATGTATATCTGTGTAACTATGTATGTATGTATGTGCATATATCCAAGCAGTCATACACCGGCACAACATACAAACACACACCTGCAATATAACAGAACTATTACATACAAACATACCCCTGCATTCAAACTCCAAAAGGATATACAAACACACCACTTCACTCAAACACAAATAATTCACACAAATGTGCATCCACATTTAAAAGTGAACTTTACATTCAAACACACCCCTGCAATCAAATGCAAACATTACATACAAACACAACCCTGTTTTAAAACACTAAAACTATATACAAACACCCCTTCAAACGCCAACACTGTACATTACACTATAGGGAAAGCAAATGCTGCAGCACTGTACAGCTATAAAACCTAGACGTTTTGATTTGGGGTGCCTTGGAAAAATATTAAAATATTAAGGGCACCTTGAACCTAAAAAGTTTGGGAACCACTGATCTACTGGCCCACATCCTGATCTCCCCTTAATAGAGGCTCATAGCCTGTTTCATTGCAGAGAAATTGAGATGATTAAAGAATCAACAGTTATGCATAATAAATATTACAAATTTAATAATATGAAGAGTTATTCATTAAACTGTCAATTATGGATAACTGGCAATGGTAATGCCAGTACAATGGAACTGTAAAAATGGACAGTTTGGTATTTTTTTCCCAATTCAATGATTTTAGCCCAAAATGTGCAATCACCACTTTGGTGTATATTTCCAGTAAATATATCTAAATATGTATTATGTTGATAAACCAGATGCAATGCATTTCTTAGTTACAGTTTTTCCTTTTATATTGTATAATGTAGTTAAGCACTTAGAGAATGTAAATTATGAACAAAAGCTTAACTTTCACAATAGAAGTCAATACAATAAATTACATTAGTTACTGGCGCAGTTGGCCGGCTAAAATATTATGCAAGGCAATTTTGCATACTGTACTTCAATACAATAAAATGCATTTACCGTTTTAGTCTCTTGGCTATATTGAATTTGGATTCTCTTACTAAAAAAAAAAAAAAAGACTTTATAGTTAATTTGTATAAAGCAAATATCTACACTGAGAAACTCGTCATGGTTTCAGTCTGTAATATGATGGCTATTTACTTACTCTTGCCCCCATGAAATACAAACATGAGACTGAATCTACAAATATTGCACTGAATAAATTGTCTATGCAGCAACAATACCATTAAAACTATCTGCAGCTTGTGCCTCCCAATGTAAGAATTTAAACTATTACTTCTTACCTGGGGGAGTCCATGTCCTGCTCCTTGCCTCATCTCAGCTGGAAGATCTTAGCTCTCATCTAAATCTGTCAATGCAGTGCTAGTCCATCTGCTGGAATTAGTTTTCATGAAGGCTAAGAGGAAGCATGAAATGGTGGACTAGAGGTAAGAAGTCAAAATGGTACTAAATGGCTTGACTACTTACATTGCGGTATGCCAGGCCACTCAAGGCACCGTAACCACATAATTATTCTCTAGTGGTTATGGTGTCTGGAGTATTTCATTACAGTGCTTTTCTTTTAATAAAAACTGGAAAAAAATTAGTTGACATTTACTTCTCTCGGGCACAGCAAGCATTTAGCAGCTTATTTGAGTTCACTTAGCTTTTGTAAGAGTTGTTCTAAGTACCACAAACATTCAAGCCCACCTAAGTGGTTATGGTGCACTGTGCTTAATTCTATGTTAAATAATTTTTGAGCAGTTTTAAACAAATATAAGTGCTATAAACTTGGAATTGCTATTGTGGAAGTGTAACTTCCACAATGAACATGTGCTAAGCAATGAACGGGACCAATGGCACCCACAGAACCTATGGTTTGTTTAAAACTGGTCAAAAACTGACACAGAACTGTGAGACATGCACATGCGGACACTCATTATTATTATTATTATTATTAGTAGTAGTAGTAGTAGTATAACTATTATTATTGCCAACGTATTCTGCAGCAAAATATAGATGGGGGAATATAACTATTACAAATGTTGATAGGAACAATAGGTTCAAAAGAATCTTGTTTAATTGAGCTTGCAATCTATTCTCACTCTAGCAATATGCATTAAATATGATATGATGCTAAGGGTGCCCCTCTTTGCATTTTCATACTCAGTGGAATACACAGATTATGTATGGATGCTGCTGATAGCTCCACAATTCCTGTATGAGCATCTCTATTCTAAAAATTTAACAATTAACAGATGTAAGAATATCAAGGGGCTTGGTCCTAGATCATGATAAATGCTTGATCTCACAAGTGTTAACTGCATTCACTGCAACATGGGTTGCTCCCAATGATCAATGGAGACCTCCTCCACACCCCGGATGCAAAATGAGCCTCTTATCTCATTGATCTGCAGTTGCAGGCTAAAGCAGACAATATGGTGCCTTCCTAACTAGGCTACATAGCTCTCAGGAGCAGATAGCCTTGCCTCTCACAAGGCAAGCAGACCTGCATCAGATTTGTTCACCCTGTTTGCTTCCCTCTCCAAATGAGAAGATTATAGTAATTTGATCAAAAAAAATGAAGCGGACTCTCTGTACAGAGTTGCCTAACCTCTGGCACTTACTATCTATCCTAAAGACTATGCTTAAGTCCACAGAGGCCCAACATACGAAGACATCACAAGCTGTGTCTCAACTTTCCACTAACCTGCAACATCAAGCCTCTGTGTTACCAGCTAGACAAATGTGGGAACAGAACCATAGTGTTTTGTTTTTGTGGTGCTGAAGCTGCAGCAGTTCACACTATTTTTCTATTGTTTTAATTTTTGTAACCAATGACAGTCTTTCTGTCAGTATTTCAGACTGAACTCTTTATGTCCCCCCTCTTATAATATTGTAAAGCGCTATGGAATCTGTTGGCGCTATATAAATGGCGATAGTAATAATAATGTGATTATTGCCTTTACACAAGGTGAGCACTATAGCTTGTATAGTTTTTGGAACAAAACACTGTGCCCTATCAGCTTCTGCCAACTGTGTCGGCGGAGAGAGCAGATAAAATGCACTTTAATAGGGGAACAGCAGTAGGTATAACTTTTTTTTTTTTTTAGAAATCACTCTTAGAGGGAGAATTAAGTGGCTATTTGGGTCTCAGCTAGTAGATGATGACACCTCAAGTATTCCACTAAAGAGCAGGTAACCCAGTGGTTAATTGGATTGGTGCTGCCCTAGGCATCACAGATCTTGGGCACCCCCTAATTTAAATGTACCGACCCCTTCCTGCCAAGGCCATACCTCTTCCTGTTAACTAACACACATTTTGACTGACAGAAACATACTGACGCACACTCACGGACCAGCACACACTATCAGATACACTGACATACACACACTCACTGATTTGAGACAATCTGACAGACCCATACAATCATACAGATACACACTGACAGACACACAAGAACTGACAGGTGTGCACACTCACTGACAGACACACACATTCACTGACAGACACTCACTCACAGACACACTGACAGATATACACACACATTCCCTGACAGACACACACACTCCAATAATGACACAGACACATTCACTGACAGATTCACTGACTGTGTAAATTTCAGTGAATGTGAATAAGTGTGTGTGTCAGTGAATGTGTGTGTGTCAGTCAGTGAGTGTGTACTCACTGACTGACACACACACATTCACTGACACACACACTTATTCACATTCACTGACATTTACACACACAAACATTTTCCCCTAACACTCACAATTATTTTTTTTTTCAAATTGAAATCCACCTCACCTCCCTACTTTTGGAATAGCTGGGTGAATTTTTTACCTGGGGTCCAGTGGGCCTGCTGCGCAGGCAGGCAGGCAGACGTACAGTCAGGCGGGCGGCCACGCTAAGCTGACAGCGAGGGAACTGTGATCTCCCTGCTCAGCTCCCTTGTGCACTGCAGAGTGATGCCGGGAGCCGGAGTGACGTCATATTCCGGCATCATTGCGGGTTGCGTGAGGAAGCTGAGCAGTAAGAGCTCAGGGGAAAGTGCTCCTTTGCCGCCCGCCCGGAAAACAAATGGCTGCCTGCCCCGGGGGGCCCAAAGTGGCCAGCCAGACAGCTCTTGGGCACTCATAAAACAAGACTAACAAGGCATTAGCCTGGGCATTTGGGGGTGGCCATTCTTGCCGCCCCCTGTAAATTGCTGCCCAAGGCAAATGTCTTGTTAGCCTAGTGGTACATACAGTCCTGGGGTAACCCAATCTGGAGAGATTGGCAAAAGGCTATTTGATTCTTTAATTGGGGGAACATTTGTGAGCATTGGGGATTCAGAATGTTCCTGGTAACAGGGAAACCGTTATTTACTTTAAACAGTGGACATGACAGTAGTTGTTGGGAACCAGACACAGAGCATGACACACACTCTTCTTCTCATTCCATAAGCTCAGAAGCTCATTGGTAGGATGCAAAAGAGATTTAGACAGGAAAGCTCTGACCATTTCAGAGGATCTATACTCCTTTCAGCTGCTTGCTGCTTAAAGGAACACTATAGGGTCAGAAACACAAACATGTATTTCGACCTTATACTGTTAAAACCACCCTCTAGCCCCCCTGGACCCCTCATGCCTACATAAATATAGCAAAATCTTACTGTATTCAAGCCTGAAGCTGTAACTCTGCATGCAGTTTGCCTCAAAAACACAAGCAGTCTGTTGACATCATCAGAAGGATTGGCTGAGACTGAAAAGGAGGCAGATCGGGGGCAGAGCCAGCATGATTCAAATACAGCCCTGGCTAATCAGCATCTCCTCATAGAGATGAATTGAATTAATGAATCTCTATGAGGAAAGTTCAGTGTTTGCATGCAGAGGGAGGAGATACTGAATGTTTGGATGCATTTTAGGCAGCCATGACCCAGGAAGGATCTCTAACTAGTGATGTCGCGAACATAAGATTTTCGGTTCGCGAACGGCGAACGCGAATTTCGGCAAATGTTCGCGAACCCGCGAACCGGGCGAACCGCCATAGACTTCAATAGACAGGCGAATTTTAAAACACACAAGATGTTTCAAGGGGACTAACACCTGGACTGTGGCATGCAAACTCCGATCCGCGGCTGCATCTTGCAGCCGCTTAGTAGATAACTCCCTAATTCCCACGGTATTAGGGAGTTATCTACTAAAAGGCTGAAAGACCTAAATTGGTCTTTCAGCCACATTTACTAATACGAAGTAAAGATTACTTAGTATTAGTAAATGATCTGCCCCTACTCGCTATGCAGCGAGTAGGGGCATGTCTAGTAAGCAGTGAGCAGCCAGTGGCTGCTCACTGTAAAAAAAAAACAAACAAAAAAAACAAAACTATTAGCTCCCACCCCTGTGCAACGGGTGGGGGCCATTAATTACAATGGGGGGGAGGCCCTACTGTCCTCCCCCCCGGCCCCCACCCCTGCGCGGTGGGTGGGGCCATAAAAATAATGAGGGGGGGGACCTACTGTCCTCCCCCCCGGCCCCCACCCCTGAGCAGCGGGTGGGGGCCCTAAATACTAAAAAGGGGGGGGGACCTAAGGTCCTCCCCCCTGGCCCCCACCCCTAAGCGGCGGGTGGGGGCCCTAAATACTAAAAAGGGGGGGGGACCTAATGTCCTCCCCCCCGGCCCCCACCCCTGAGCTGTGGGTGGGGGCCCTAAATTGGAATAAGGGGGGGACCTAAGGTCCTCCCCCCTGGCCCCCACCCCTGAGCGGTGGGTGGGGGCCCTAAATTGGAATAAGGGGGGGACCTAAGGTCCTCCCCCCTGGCCCCCACCCCTGAGCGGCGGGTGGGGGCCCTAAATACTAAAAAGGGGGGGGGACCTAATGTAAGTAACCAATCAAAGAGTTATGAGTCAAATTACACAGCGTGGGAAAATTCCACAGAACTTTCCCACGCTGTGTAAAATGACACAGAGCACTCTGATTGGTGGATTTCAAACCAACCAATCAGAGTGCTGTGACAGGTAAATGTAGAGACTTACCTGTCAGTCTCTTCATTTACCTGTCAGAGCACTCTGATTGGATGGCTTAAACTCACCAATCAGAGTGCTCTGAGCCTAATTGCAGGGCGGGGCAAGGCTTTATAAGCCTTCCCCCGCCCTGCAGAGCTCAGTCTGTGCGGAGCCCTCGCCGGGTGAAGATGGATTATTTTTTTTGCGCTCGTTTTTTTTTTTTTTAATTGCGTCGGTTATTATGGTTTTTTATTTGCCCTTTTTTGGGGCTGAAAAAAGAAGATTTAGAAGAAAGAAAACATCGAATGGTAAGTTTTTTTTTTTTCATTTTACAGGTACTTAGTTAAAGGTGCCCCCCCTTATTATTTTTAGGGTGAGGGGGGTAGGTAGGGGGATAATGTTTTTTTTGGGGGGGAGGGGGTGACTAGGGTTTGGGGACCCCTAGTCACCTGGGGGGTGGGGGGAAAAAATTTTTTAGGGCCCCCACCCGCCGCTCAGGGGTGGGGGCCACGGGGGGAGGACCTTAGGTCCCCCCCTTTTTAGTATTTAGGGCCCCCACCCGCCGCTCAGGGGTGGGGGCCGGGGGGGAGGACCTTAGGTCCCCCCCCCCATTTTAGTATTTAGGGCCCCCACCCGCCGCTCAGGGGTGGGGGCCAGGGGGGGAGGACCTTAGGTCCCCCCCCCCTTTAGTATTTAGGGCCCC